AAAAAAAAAATGACATGTAAAGGTCAGCTTGCTAAAGGGCAAGGGATTATTATTATTATTATTATAATCAAGGGGAAGCGCTAAACCCGGAGGATTATACAGCGCCGGGGGGGGGGGATGTGGAAGGCATTCAGGCTTAATTCGGGGAACTGGAGCACAGATCCAATTCCCTAAATCAAGAGCCCCTCACCAACATCAAGGAACCTTCCTTGAGGGGAAAGGGCAAGGGAGCTAAATTTAGTGTGTTTAAATACAAACAGATATATAGCACCGTTAACATAACCAAATCATAGGTTGTTTTTCTTACCATATTAAATCACAGGGTATACATTATCACAAGAGTTGACTTTCCTGACATACTCCATCATAAATAAGAATGTTATTTTTACCATACTCTGATACACAGGATGAATTTCCTGTTATACTCTATCACACAGGATTGATTTTTGGTTTCCCTCAAGGAAGGTTTCTTGACGCTGGTGAGGGGCTCTTGATCTAGGGAATTGGATCTGTTCTCCAGTTCCCTGAATTAAGCCTGAATGCCTTCCACATCTCCCCAGGCGCTGTATAATCCTACGGGTTTAGCGCTTCCCCCTTGATTATAATAATAATAATAATCCCAGTAATTGAGGTGTTTTATCTCCGTTATGCGCGCCGTGAAGGTTCTCTGTACATTTTCTAGGTCAGCAGTTTCACCTGCCTTGAAAGGTGCTGTTAGTGTGCAGCAATATTCCAGCCTAGATAGAACAAGTGACCTGAAGAGTGTCATCATGGGCTTGGCCTCCCTAGTTTTGAAGGTTCTCATTATCCATCCTGTCATTTTTCTAGCAGATGCGATTGATACAATGTTATGGTCCTTGAAGGTGAGATCCTCCGACATGATCACTCCCAAGGTCTTTGACGTTGGTGTTTCGCTCTATTTTGTGGCCAGAATTTGTTTTGTACTCTGATGAAGTTTTAATTTCCTTGTGTTTACCATATCGGAGTAATTAAAATTTCTCATCGTTGAATTTCATCTTGTTTTCTGCAGCCCACTGAAAGATTTGCTTGATGTCCGCCTGGAACATTACCTATTACTGTGACCTGATCTTTCTTTAATATTAATGCAAATAACTCAGTTTACCTCATTCCTAGTATATATCCCTTTATTGTAACTTCATCTCACACAGCTGAATCACTCGTTTTTAACATTTAAGGATTAAATAACAAGATATTACAAGTACCCCCAGTGGAAATAAATCACTTTGCCTGACAGTTTTGGCTGGGTTATCCTAGGTAATCTACACATATGCTGCTATGTATAATAATTTATGTAACTATATGTACCTGTACCTGAATAAACTTACTAAGCAATTGAAGGTGGCGGTGCCTAGGTGGTGCCCTAGCGAGCACCTAGTTCACTCATAATGTTTTGCTGAAGATAATACATCATCACCTGCACCTCCATGCTCCAGGTACCTACTTACAACAGTTCTGCTTGCTGGGTGTTCTGTTTTAAGTGTTTTGTGAGTGATTGTTGCTGGTGAGGTGGAACATGAGGTGGAGCACTGCAGTAGACCTATGGTGGGTAGGTCTAGTTCACCCCCCCCCTGTGAACAGGCTGGGTGGTGGAAAGTGCTAGGCTAAGATAAGATTAAGGTGGGTGGTGCACCCTGTTACCCTGGGTGGTGCACCCTGTTACCCTGGGTGGTGCACCCTGTTACCCTGGGTGGTGCACCCTGTTACCCTGGGTGGTGCACCCTGTTACCCTGGGTGGTGCACCCTGTTACCCTGGGTGGTGCACCCTGTTACCCTGGGTGGTGCACCCTGTTACCCTGGGTGGTGCACCCTGTTACCCCTGGGTGGTGCACCCTGTTACCCCTGGGTGGTGCACCCTGTTACCCTGGGTGGTGCACCCTGTTACCCCTGGGTGGTGCACTCTGTTACCCTGGGTGGTGCACCCTGTTACCCCTGGGTGGTGCACCCTGTTACCCCTGGGTGGTGCACCCTGTTACCCTGGGTGGTGCACCCTGTTACCCCTGGGTGGTGCACTCTGTTACCCTGGGTGGTGCACCCTGTTACCCCTGGGTGGTGCACCCTGTTACCCCTGGGTGGTGCACCCTGTTACCCCTGGGTGGTGCACCCTGTTACCCCTGGGTGGTGCACCCTGTTACCCTGGGTGGTGCACCCTGTTACCCCTGGGTGGTGCACTCTGTTACCCTGGGTGGTGCACCCTGTTACCCCTGGGTGGTGCACCCTGTTACCCCTGGGTGGTGCACCCTGTTACCCCTGGGTGGTGCACCCTGTTACCCCTGGGTGGTGCACCCTGTTACCCTGGGTGGTTGCACCCTGTTACCCCTGGGTGGTGCACCCTGTTACCCCTGGGTGGTGCACCCTGTTACCCTGGGTGGTGCACCCTGTTACCCCTGGGTGGTGCACCCATGTTACCCCTGGGTGGTTGCCACCTGTTTACCCCTGGGTGGTGCACCCTGTTACCCCTGGGTGGTGCACCCTGTTACCCCTGGGGTGGTGCACCCTGTTACCCCTGGGTGGTGCACCCTTGTTACCCCTGGGTGGGTGCACCCTGTTACCCCTGGGTGGTGCACCCTGTTACCCCTGGGTGGTGCACCCTGTTACCCCTGGGTGGTGCACCCTGTTACCCCTGGGTGGTGCACCCTGTTACCCCTGGGTGGTGCACCCTGTTACCCCTGGGTGGTGCACCCTGTTACCCCTGGGTGGTGCACCCTGTTACCCCTGGGTGGTGCACCCTGTTACCCCTGGTGGTGCACCCCTGTTACCCCTGGGTGGTGCACCCTGTTACCCCTGGGTGGTGCACCCTGTTACCCCTGGGTGGTGCACCCTGTTACCCCTGGGTGGTGCACCCTGTTACCCCTGGGTGGTGCAATGTGCCACCCTGGGTGGTACAACATGTTACCCTGGGTGCCCTCATATGTTTTAGATTTTGATTTAGCCTAGGATAACTCATTGATACAATGTGATATTTAAAAGAATAGAATGTGCTAGATGTGGTGCTGTTTGTCTTCTAATTTTTTTACTTCTCTCTAATCCACAGTTGCACCAGAAAGATGTATTGTCTACAGTGGCTGATCCCTGTCCTCCTTATCCCAAAACCAGTTCCTGCAGGTCTACTCCACAACCATGTAGTGTTTATGGTTCTCTATTTGACGGGCTTCTTCTTGGAGCGGAAACCATGTACCATATGTTCCCTTGTCTTCTTAGCCGCGGTAACTGTGCTGTGTTACTCAGGGATTGGCAATTGTCTCTTGTGGCCAACAGCTGATTGTCAAGGTTAGTCCCCCAGGTAATTTATTTGTTTTAATTTTATTCTTATATGAAAGTGATAACAGAAGTACTCTAACTAAAATGTTGATATACAGTAGGACCCCCATAACTACAGGTCGGGTATTCGCAGTTTGTTATCCGTGGTTTACCGTGGCCTGAAAATAACCCTTAATTTTGCTTAATAATGGCCTCAGAGTTCAAAATTAGTGGTGGTGGTGGTAGTTCTTCAAGTAAACCACTTGTCTAGTTTTAAGTAATTACTATGTAGTACTATCGTCTTGTCTAGTTTTAAGTAAATACAGTGGACCCCCGGTTAACGATATTTTTTCACTCCAGAAGTATGTTCAGGTGCCAGTACTGACCGAATTTGTTCCCATAAGGAATATTGTGAAGTAGATTAGTCCATTTCAGACCCCCAAACATACACGTACAAACGCACTTACATAAATACACTTACATAATTGGTCGCATTCGGAGGTGATCGTTATGCAGGGGTCCACTGTAGTTACTATGTACAGGATTAGTCTGCCTGAAATGCCCCGGCATGATAGTGCTTTCTTTCCACTTGGCAAACCAAAATTGTAATTACATATTGTAACCTTTACAAAGAAATAAAACTTTACTTTACCTAAGAGAAGTCATGAAGTGCTTCCCATCGGTGGAAAAAGTGATAATTCTCCACTTATTATTGTGTGTAACTTACAATTTAAGTGTTATAATAGGTATGTATGTAAATGAAAAACGACATACAGGTACCATCCAACTTATGACCAAGCTTGGTTCCGACCAACCGGTCGTAAGTCAAAATGGACGCAAGTCGAACCTTGCTACTGAATATCAACATCACACTTTTGTAATGAATTTATTTAATGTTTTATTTTGGTATTTCATTTTTTACTTTTTATGCTGTTAGTACTGTATTTTATACTGTAAGGTTTAGAATAAACACCGTGTACAACACAAACAGTTGTTTATTTCCCAGAAATTTGGCATAAAAAACATGGTTGTAAGTTGAGTGGTTGTATGTCAAGCAGGTCGTAAGTCGGATGGTAGGTGTATATAGTGTTCGCTGCTATCCTCAGTCTTGGTATCCATGGCAGGTCCTTGGAACTTATCCCCCACAGTTAAGGGGGTCTTACTGTGTATACTGTATAATATTGGCAGCACTCAGCATAGAAGTGGTAAGACATGAACAGTAGCCATCATCATTGCTTTCATCTGATGCTGGTTGAAGCACATCCTGGTTATCAGTAAAGAATCAAACACTAAGAGGACTGGAGCAAACAAATAATAATAATCTTTATATCTACAAGTACATGATGCAACTTATACAGACCTTGTTGACATCAGTGACATACTATAAAAGCTCCTAGTTATGCAGAGCATTTCGAGCAACTTAGATTAATTTTGTCCCCAGAATGCAACCCACACCAGTCGACTAACACCCAGGTACTTATTTGCTGTTAGGTGAACAAGGACAGCAAATGTAAGGAAACATGCCAAGTGTTTCCACCCATACTGGGTTTGAAGATATCCATAATTGACTGCCATTTTGGTGATAACACACCCCAGGGAAATCTGGGGTGGCCATTACTTAAACTTGTTTTGTGACAACTGGCCATGGTATTATTAAGTATGAGAAATGACAAGTAATATATTGATTCAGAAAAGGTAATATTATCAACATACTTTATAGAGAGCTCCTGGTTATGCAGAGCATTTATAGCTGTTACTGGAAATTTTTACAAGTAAAATTTGCTGAAAATTTTAGTAGGTTGTGAAGGTTATGATGAATGTTGGTCAAATACAAATGCAGATGCTAATCTGAATATCAGTATTACTGCCTAGGACATACGATAAACTGAAGGCCCACAAAATGCATGGCATCTCAGGAAAATAAGCCTATACTGGAGGGCCCTGGTTTACAGCACTTCATTTTACAGCATTTTGCTCATACAACGGTTTTCAGTTATATCTATTCTTCATTTATTCAGGCTTCCTACAATAAATATATTCACTCACTGTAAGATAAATACGAAAATATTTTAAGGTAGGTAATGCATGTATTGTATACCTGGAGAGGGTTTCGGGGGTCAACGCCACCCCCACGGCCTGGTCTGTGACCAGGCCTCGTGGTGGGTCAGGGCCTGATCAACCAGGCTGTTACTGTTGGCCACACACAACCCAGCATATGAACCACAGTGCGGTTGGTCAGATACTGACTTTAGGTGCCTGTCCAGCGCCTTCTTGACAATAGCCAGGGGTCTATTAGTAATCCCCCTTATGTATGCTGGGAGGCAGTTGAACAGTCTTGGGGCCCCTGACACTTATTGTGTTGTCTCTTATCGTGCTAGTGGCACCCCTGCTTTTCATTGGGGAGATGTTGCATTGTCTGCTGAGTCCTTTGCTTACATAGGGAGTGATTTTTGTATGCAGGTTTGGTACTATTCCCTCTAGGATTTTCCAAGTGTATATAATCACGTATCTCTCCCGCCTGTGTTCTAGGGAGTACAGATTGAGGAACTTCAAGCGTTTCAAGCAACTGAGGTGTTTTATCGCACTTGTGTGTGCTGTGAAGGTTCTCTGTACATTTTCTAGGTCAGCAATTTCACCTGCCTTGAAAGGTGCTATTAGTGTGCAGTAATATTCCAGCCTAAATAGAACAAGTGACCTGAAGAGTGTCAACATGGCCTTGGCATCCCTAGTTTTGAAGGTTCTTATTATCCATCCTGTCATTTTCTAGCAGATGCAATTGATGCAATGTTGTGGTCTTTGAAAGTGAGATCCTCTGACATTATCACTCCCAATCCTTTTACATTAGTTTTTTGCTCTATTGTGTGGTTGGAATTTGTTTTCTATTCTGATATAGTTCTAATTTCCTCACATTTTCCAAAGGCAAAGTCATTTCTCATCATTAAACTTCATATTGTTGTCTGTGGCCCATTTAAAGATTTGGTTGATGTCCGTCTGGAGTCTTGCAGCATCTTCATTGAAGGCCTAATTCTATTGCTCACTTATTATATGATAATGTAAACATGTTAACAGGTTTTTTGTGCATTTGAAAGTGAAAAAAGGACTGTGGTTTCACTTTACAACAATTTTTGCTTTACAGCAGTAGCCTGAAAACTAACCTACTGCCTAAGTGGAGCCCTCCTGTATTGTACTGAAAATTTACTTGTATATTGTCTTACTAGTTCTTGTTCTTTATTTCCTCTTATCTCCATGAGGAAGTGGAAAAGAATTCTTCCTCTGTAAGCCATGCATGTCGTAAGAGGTGACTAAAATGTCGGGAGTAAGGGGCTAGTAACCCCTTCTCCTGTATAAATTACTAAATCTAAAAAGAAAAACTTTCTCTTTTTATTTAGGTTATGTTACCTCAGTGGGATATGGCCAGTTCGTTGAAAAAAAAAAATAAAAATCACAATAAGAAGATAAAATTTTCACGTTTAGCAGAGTGAATGGTACTAGTTACATAAATTACAGTACAAAATGTGATGAGGTAGTATACCTGGAGTTTACCTGGAGAGAGTTCCGGGGGTCAACACCCCCGCGGCCCGGTCTGTGACCAGGCCTCCTGGTGGATCAGAGCCTGATCAACCAGGCTTAAATAATAATAATAAATGGGAGTTGTTCTTGGTATTAGTATTTTTACCTCGTCTGACATTTCATGACCATACGCAAGTCTGAGATTTTTTATTGGGAGTTGTTACTTATACTACAGTGGACCCCCACTTTACGATCACCTCCCAACGTGACCAATTATGTAAGTGTATTTATGTAAGTGCGTTTGTACGTGTATGTTTGGGGGTCTGAAATGGACTAATCTAATTCACAATATTCTTTATGGGAACAAATTCGTTCAGTACTGGCACCTGAACATACAGTGGACCCCCGCTTAACGATCACCTCCAAATGCGACCAATTATGTAAGTGTATTTATGTAAGTGCGTTTGTACGTGTATGTTTGGGGGTCTGAAATGGACTAACGTACTTCACAATATTCCTTATGGGAAAAAATTCGGTCAGTACTGGCACCTGAACATGCTTCTGGAATGAAAAAATATCGTTAACCGGGGGTCCACTGTATTTCTGGAATGAAATATCGTAAACCGGGGGTCCACTGTATAATTGATGTAGATTTTTGGGTTTTGGTATTCAATACAGTGCGTTTCTTTTATTTCAGGTGAAGGTAGTGGATCAAATGAGCTGTGTGGCAGAGGTGGATGACCAGTGAAGATGTGGAAGGACAAGGAATGTGATGTAACTGCTGAAGGTGATGGGATCGTGGGTGATTTTGAAATTTGATGAATGTTATGCCAACTATGATGCCTCAGTTGGGAAAGGTATTATACTTTGGATTTTGATGATGAGCCAATTTACTCTGATATGTAAGTATAATATGTACTGTATTCCTTTTCTTAGGGGAAATTCTTTTTCTGATTTGAGACATTGGTTGACATTGGTTTTTGAGCTGTAAAGCTGACGATCCATAAGTGTATTAGTAACCCAGTATAATTGGAAGAATGTTGAAAAATTTTGGTAGTCCAGTATTTGTATACTGTTTGTATTTGTTCAGGACTAACAATATAGGTGTTTAAATTTTTTTAAGAAATTATCTTGAACTGTGTGATCAAATTAAAATTTAGCAACCAGGTATTGAAATTATATATGAATTGTATATAGGTGCCTTCATAGTATATTGGACACATTGGTTAATTTGCTGGTTTCCTTTAATTTTAAATTACCTGTGTTCTTTTTTTTTCACTTCTGTAACATAGAGCCTTGGTATTTAGCTTGTTTGACCTTGTGTTTCACACTGAAAGTGGAAATTAAGATTATGCTTAATTTCTTGTCAGTTGTTTTGTGTTGTAGTTATGAGTTCTGTTTTGTATGTGATGATACTTAGCTAACCTAAATTTGGTGAAGGACATTGTCACAACTTTCCACTTGCAATATATATTCTGCTCTGCTCAAGCATTAAGAAATCTGTAAACTCTTAGCCAAAATTAAACTTATACTAAATAACTTACGGTGTGAGGGAGGGAAGTTTCTCAAAATTTGGAAGGGGAACATACTGAATGTTACCCTTTCCGTCTGTACACTCGCTCAGTTTTTTTTTTTTTTTTTCAGGTTAACTTCACACCAATGTAAATGGTAATAAAAACTGCCCTTTCTTAGACATTTCCTACATAAAACAAGGTACAATATATGTCTGATGCATATAAAAAATGATGACTCCATAAATACATATTCAGCTAAAGTAACAGGTGGGAGTCAAGACATAGTTGAATAAAAAAGACATTTAGTTATGTCTTTACAAGTACTATACAAAGGAGTTAAGAAATGAGTAATATGTTTCAGCCTTAATTTTTAAGTTCCATCCTCCCAGATGGAATATGGTTAAGAGTAGAACTTTTGACATATCTGCCCCCAGGAACCAGCTGTGTATCACGCGTATTGTTAGTTTTCTCCTTAAAGTAGCTAGAGCAATGAATATATAATGTCATAATAAAATTCATTAAAAAGTGTAATGATAAAAGATCAAAAGTGTCTGTCCATAATATGAGATTGTACATGTTCAGTGTTTAAGTCTAGTACATAGGAAAGTACACTAGTGTTGACTAAAATTACTTTTCAGAGTTATTTGCAAATACCATATAGATCTTCATATTGGATTCAGTGTTATGTATTGAAAATAACTATTTCAGTTCTTAAGGATAATTTAAGGATGATAAAAAAAAGTAGAACATTATTATCATATAATAAGTTAATGTTCTCCTGTACAAAAAATTTTATGAACAAAGTGATTTTAGTATTCTTTTGGGTAGGCATTGTATGTGTGTGTGCGCGTGCATGCGTGTAAATTTTGTTCAGTGCACTAGTCGTAATAAATGTTCAAATTCTTCAGTGGAATTCAGTGGGGAAGCAAAGCTAATTAATTGATGGTTGGGTTAAGTCACTCAGACATCTTGAGATGGTTGAGTGACTTGACTGTGGGTTCACCTTACTTATGAACACACTTTATATTTGGCTTGAAGGTATAGGCAAAGTCTTGCTATTTATTTATCTATTTTTCCTAAGTTGTATATTTTTAATTTTATTTGTTTGGGGTTAGGTTCAGAATATGCAGCAGTCTGATAAAATACCTTATCTTTGCAAATCTTGCCTTATCCATTATTACCGAATATTGTAAGCTGAATATTAATAATCTTTTCTCTTTTATCTATTCAGAAACATTGCTCCTTCATTGAACATTTAGAGAAAATTGATCTCTTCCATATGAGCATAACTTTAAACACAGCTACAGACAGTTATAGGAACACTATTGACAAAAGTTATCAGTGCCCTTTGTTTCACCTTTTCTTTTAATTAAAAAAGTTTTGTCAATTCTATTTTCTCACCAACACAAGGGCATGACATTTGTAGGCACATTGTAAAATATAGTGTGTATTCAGAGATCAGTTGTATATAAGCTCTGCAGTCTTTAGAGAACAATTAAGAAAGGTTTAATGTGACAGATTATAGCAAATTAAACTGCGGTACCAGAAGCAGTTCCAAGTACTGCATTTCCACCCACTGCTCTACAGTGGAAGAAATGCTTCAACAGTTGCATTGCAGAGTTAACCAGGTTCATGCCCATCTTTTCCTAAGAGCTGTAAATCTTCACATAAAACTTTATCTTACTCTTTGCCCTACCCTTGCTAGGCTTGTTTTGTTTCTAATTCATTTGTTGAAGGTGTTTATCAGGAACATGAAGTACTGGTGATGTCATGATTGAGCTTTTTAACTTTCATAGAGTACAGTACACACATCAACACTAAAGTCTTGAAATACTGACATCTGAAAGACAAACTCATTTAAGCATTTTCAATATCGAGATCATGGCTTGATATAACCAAAACTCGTTTAATTATTGGGATAAATACAGTACTGTACTTATAAATATCATAATCATATTAATAGTTTCTCTAGATCAGTCTTAAGTTTCTTGCCTCTTTGAGTATAATGTCTGGCCTCATAAAACTATATCTAAACTTAATATTTTCAATTATTTTTCTGGCAAAATTTTGTCTTGCTCAATATTAGATTTCTTTGGCATGTTTACTTACAAGTAAGCCTTTTATTTTTTTAATTTTTTATTTTTATTTTTTTTTTTTTATATTGCAATATTTATTTTTGATTGAGAGGTGAACAAGATAGAATTTTTCTAAACAGATTTGTGATTTTAATTAGTTCAAATAGTGTGATAGGAGTGCTAGAAAAATAAATGTGATAATCCTGTATATTCTTTATTGATAACTACATTTTTCAACATATTCCAAAGTTTTAGCATAATTCATGATACGTGTAACTGGTTTGTGTATATTACAAAACTTAGCCATGAGTGAATATTGTTTGACGTGCATGTATATAGGAACAGCTTATATTTTATCTTTAGTTAATATTGTTTACAATATTGTGCATAATAGTACATGATCATTTTTCTAAAAGGTGTGGATAAACTCCATTTATATATTTCAACATAATAGTGTCCTTTGGATGTTCTGCTGTAATTGTAACACCTTTGTAATCTGCACTACAGTAAGCTTTCTTGTAAGGGTCCTCTGTATAGTGTGATTTTTTTGTAAATGCGATGAGAAAGGGGCATCCAAAATTGAATGGCACATGAAAGAGGCCCTTTGGAGTACGTGTTGCTCAATTTTGGGTGGACTTTTGCAAATGCATTTGCCAAAAAATTGCACTATACACAGTGGCTTGACAAGAAAGTTAAGTGTGTGTGTATTGTTTGTCATGGTGTGCAGTATTGAACCAGTGCAGGTTAATCTAGTCAGTGTGAGCACCAAGGCAGTTCTTTGTAAATACATGCTTCATTGCTGACATCTTGTATATTGAACAAATTTCAGTGATTGGATTCTCTTGAGCAATACCTATTCAGTATCTCATTTAAACACTTAAAAATGCAGAAAAAGTGCTTGCAAGGTTGTATACTTTTATCCTAGGCAAGTATGTATACATTATAGAGTGGTCTGAATATAAAACAATGCATTCTGGATTACTGAAATAGAGCATACAACTGTTAAGGGAATTAAAAATATTTTGTGAATAAATTTTTATAATAGCTGATGTGTGTGTTTTTCTGAATCCAAATGAATTCTGTCTTTATTTTCCATACCAAATGTTTTTTGGGCAGACTTCCTTTGACTTAGTTTTTTAAATTGTTAAAGTACTGTATTACCATATACAGTACTGCACATATAGATGTCGTGTCTAAGTGCAATGTGTGGTGTAAATATGTAGTAGCAAAGAATTTATAGTGTGGAAATTGGGTGGGGAGTTACTAAAAGTATTATTCAGAGGGGTGAAGATTGGTTGTTTGAAGTGGTTTGGTCATTTAGAGAGACTGGAACAAAGTAGAATGCCTTAGAGAGCGTATAAATCTGTAGGGGTTGGAAGGCGGGGTAGGGGTCGTCCTAGGAAAGGTTGGAGGGAGGGGGTAAGGGAGGTTTTGTGGGTGAGGGGCTTGGACTTCCAGCAGGCATGCATGCATGAGTGTGTTTGATAGGAGTGAATGGAGATGAATGGTTTTTGGAACCTGACGAGTTGTTGGAGTGTAAGCAGGGTAATATTTTGTGGAGGGATTCAGGGAAACCGGTTAGCCAGACTTGAGTCCTGGAAGTGGGAAGTACAATGCCTGCACTTTAAAGGAGGGGTTTGGGATATTGGCTGTTACACAAATAACCTGCACATAGAAGAGAGGAGTTTAAAATGATGTTTTGGTCCGACTTGGACCATTTACAAAGTCACACTAACGAAAAGGAGAGAAGGAAGGAGTATATATAAGCCAGGAGGTGGTAGGGGTAGTAGTGGAGGTAGAAGGTAGTGTGCAGGTTATTTGTGTATCATTCCAGTCATGGTATTGTGCCTTTTTTTTGTTTAGAGTGACATCTAAACTGTTGTATCTGAGCACCTCTGCAAAGACAGTGATTATGTTTGAAGGATGATGAGTTATTTTCTTTCTTTTTGGGTCACCCTGCCTCAGTGAGAAATGACCGTGTTATGAGCCAGATTCTCACGGAGTTGATGGGCAGATATTTGAAGTGTGATGCCCTGGATGTCTGACTTTTCTGCAGTTTCTTGTTACAGTAGCATGCAAATTAATTGGGACAAGAGTAAATTTTGTAATACTCATATATGTTAGTCTCCGAGTTAATCAATGTAGATTGGGTTCTTTTCTTTTCAGAAGAGTTTGCTACTGACTTATGGCAACCATCTGGCCATGTGTTATCCTGCAACTCTCATCAGTGGCACAACAGCTGTTGTTCTGTAAGGCTATTCCTGCAAGCATGCTCCATGAGTAAATGTGATTTCACCAAATTCTCCCCGTCAATTCATGATTACTGCTGAAATTCATAATGGATGTTACACCTAGGAGGCGTGCAAGTATTGTAGCTCTTAGAAAACATGATGATTTAAGTATCAGACAGACTGTCGAAAAATTGAGTCTAGCAAAGTCAACTGTTGGTTGGATTTTGAAGAGAGCTGATGACACTGGTGATTGTAGAGCACTGTATCGAGGAAGATGTTAAAGAAAATTCAAGACAACGCCTCATGATGATAAGGTTATCATAAGAGATAGTGTGAAGGATCTCAAGAAAACCATTTACGCCAGCTTCAGCTGGCGCAGATGTAGATTCTTCAGCTGTTAGACGAAGGCTCCTTGAAGTTGGCAGAACTTCCAGAAAGCTGGTCAAGAAATAATTATTGACTGCTGCTATGAAGAAAAAATGGCCGTGTTGGGCACTCTTATCATTTTGAAGTACGTACATGGGTACAGACAGTGGTAGTGAGATGGAGAAAAAGCGAACCTCTTCTGAATGGACACATTCAACAAGCGCCAAAACACCCACCTGGGAAGATGCTTTAGGATAGTTATACTGCTAAAGGCCCTGAATGACTTATTATTGTTGAGGGAACAGTGACAAATACAAGGCAATCCTGGCAGTTCACTTGCTTCCCATTGTGGATAGACTTTCCTAATGGAGAAGGCATTTTCCAGGAGGATCTTGCTTCAAGCCACATTTCCAGAAAAATGCAGACATTCTTTGAAGAGAGTGGGCTAAGTGTTCTAAATTGGCCTGGAAACTCTGACCTCAACCCAGCTGAGAATCTATAGGCAATAACCAAATGCAGGATTGTGAAACAGGACTGTTCAACTGTGGAGAAGCTAATTGCTGCTGCTACTAGAACCTGGCACCACAACAAAGAACTTGACAAAATGTGTTCAACATTGGTTGATTCTATGCCAAAGCACATCATTGCCATGTATTTTTCAAATCGTTAGTTTTCCAAATAAATGTCTTATTTTATCACTAACCCAATTAATATGCATTCTACTGTATATCCTAGGGGACAAAGCAAGATAGGCATTAGCCTTGCTGATGAATGTTGCTCTCACCTGGGCAAAGTAACTCAGATCTACAGTGACACACCTACAATCTAAATTACCATCGACAGAGTTTGCTAAAAGTTCTCAAGTATATGAAGTGTAAGAAGATACAGTGCAACAGCACAACCTCCATTCAGAATCTTACTTTGAAACTTGAGCCACAAATTGATACCTTTTGCAGTTTTCATAAGTGGAAAGTCCTACAAGTAGTTTCTGATGTCTTTTAAGCTTATTAAAAATTGAAGGCTTGATTACTGGAATGTCATTTTCTTCAAGACTGAGTGATGCCCTCCAGGAGCCCATTACTCCCAGGTGTTATAAAGACCAGATTCTTCTTTATATCCTTTCCGGTTTAGCGCTTTCTTTGCTTGTACATCTTTATACGTATGAATGCATAATCAGTACACAGTCTGTCCATCAATGCCAGGCTTGTCACAAGAGGCCTGCTCCTGGCGACTACACATTCACTGGACATTGTCTTAGCCCTTGTGGTTTAGCACTTCTTTTTGATTATAATAATAATGGACATTGTCTTGTAAAGGAAACAGTTTAAGCCTTTCACCCCCTCAAGGGAGGTTCCTTGATGCTGGTGAGGGGCTTTTGATCTAGAAAATCGGATTTGTGCTCCAGTTCCCTGAATTAACCCTTTCAGGGTCCGTGCCGTAGATCTACGGCTTTACGTTCAGGGTCCAAACCGTAGATCTACGCCATGAGCTCAGCTCACTCTGATAAGCTGTGAGTGGTAAATTTGGGCTTAGATATGAGAAATACATCTATGTGGTATGTGTGCACCACTTAAAACAAATCCTGCAGCACACAGTGTATAGTGAGAGAAAAAACTGAGACCGTGATTTTCGATTAAAACAGCAACTTTGCAGTGTTTTTTCGTATGTTTTTTATAGTTGTATTTGCGATTTCTTGGTCTCATTTGATAAAATGGAAGACATATTACAGAAATAGAGATGATTTTGATTGGTTTTAGCACTGGAAATGGCTTGAAACTGAGCTCAGAGTAGCGGAAATGTTAAATTGTTGCCGATGTTCAAGAGTAAACAAACTATCTCACACGTCTAATACACGCCAGCTGGTGGGTCTGATATACATTCACAAATGTGGTTTTGATATTTATACAATTATTACAATATTGCATAACAGTAAATCTTCTATTTTTTGGTTTGAATAAAAATTCATTATGTGAATAAAAAATCAAAATGGAATTCATCTGTAAAGCCTCAAAACATAACTAATGAACAGAGGAAATGTTAGTTTAGTGCCAGGAATACCTACATTGTTTATTCTGGACCCTATTTTGAAATTGGAATATTTTGAACTTTGTGTTAAATTGGCCAAATTACCAATTTCCGATCACTTTATTTTGTAGTTGAAACAGTTGACTTGGCAATTTCTTGTGCTCAATCGATAGAATAGAAGTAATACTAGTGAAATAGCTAAGAATTTGGTCGGCTGGAATTTTGTAATCGGCAAAATCGCTGATTCGTAAATATCGCTGACACATCAAAATTCGTGAGAGCATAATGTCATCAATTTTCCATCAAATTTCATATTTTTTGTTTTATTACCTTCAGAAAAAGATTCTCTACCATTTCATAAGAAAAAATAACAATTTTTTTTTTTAAATTCTTGGACCCTGGTGCGCACTTTGAAATTTGGCCTCTGGATCCTGAAAGGATTAAACCTGAATACCTTCATTCCTCCCCCCACAGGCGCTGTATAATCCCTACAGAATTAGCGCTTCCCCATAATGATAATCCAATCTGCCAGCCAGAGGATTGCTGTAATAAAGACAAGAAAGCATCTGATAGATCAAGAAGGAAAGAAAACAAGTGGAATAAAAAACGAGATGAAGAGGAATCAAGAGACACCAGGGAAGAAAAACAACAGATGGTAGTAAAAGACAATCTTTGGCCCAAGCCAAGGAAACTATGATACAGGAAAAGAATGAGGCAATAGCTTTTATGAAAGTATATGAACTCTCAAGCGATGCTATGAAGAAATTACATGCAGTCATCTCTAGTAGCACCTTTAAGGTGCTAAGGTTGCATCAACAATGTTTGTTGTTGGTAAAAGCCAACATAACCAAGCTATGCAAAAAAGCAACCAAAATAAAATATAAACTTCTGATGCTTGGAAGTAACATGAAATTTCATTATTGTACTAGATAAGACAATTCATTTCAAGAAAGCTCAAAAGAAAAGTGGTGATACAGAAACTACTGTATCTTCTAAAAGAGAAATAGCCATCCTGCATTATTAACCCGTAAACGGTCCAAACGTATATATACGTTTTTTACCACTAGTGCCCCAAATGTATGTATACGTTTTATTTGTCATTCAACATTGCCACGATAAGCCAGAGTCGCCTAGACATGAGAGAATGGGTGTGCGCACTCACTGTGCATCATATTAAAATAATTGGGGATGCCTGGGTACCATATGCTCTTATTATTAAAAAAAAATTTTTTTTTTTCTCTCAAAAAAGTTGGGGCACTACGGGAGAGAATGTATATATACGTTTGGACCGTTTACGGGTTAATACTGATACATTTGTACTTATGCAACATCATAGTACAGTAATATGAATACACAGGAAAATGGACAGGGAGGGTAGGTACTGTACCTTTAAAAATACTATAGTACAGTAATGTTCCATACATGATTATCTCTAATATGAATATACTGTTCCCTCTTTTTAAAAATATATACAGTATAGAGTAATAGGACAAAAATACACAGTATTTAAAAAAAATGTATTTTTTTTTTTTTTTTTTTGAAAATCTAACATTAAGATTAAAACAATATTAGAGAAGACTGTGAGTAAATATAAACTTTATGTCAACTACATTGTCATAAAGAGTAGACTTGGAAGGAGAAGAAAACAGGTTGCACTTAAGGTAACTAACTCCCTTAATACTGACAGACATGCAGCTGTAATAGCACATTATTAAGTCATTATATCACAACAGTATGAAATAAAAGTTCCATATTTCCTGTAGAGCTAACTTAGTAATGATATATTTGAAAACAATCATCCATCACATACAAAATATGTAGTTTGATAGTGGATTGGATTGCATGGGTAGGGACGAGTGGAGGCGAGTATGCAAAATAAATGTCAGTAATGAAGGTGTTTTGGGTTACGTTTAAGTGTTAAAGAGACCATTGAAGAGGACTGGGTATGTTGAGGCAGTGAAGATGACAGACGGTGAAGAGCTGGGAGCCTCAGTATTATGAATTGCTAAAAGTTAAATATAGGAATAAGTATGTAGGTGGGCATTACTGAGTGTTGGGGGTGTCAGGCGACTCTGGAGTAAGAGGTGCAAGATATTGTCATCTACAGGCAGAGTTCAGTTATGGTTTAATTATATGACAAACCCTTCTTCTCAATTAAACATCAAATATTACTTTCCTGAAGGAAAACTAGGCAAACGAGAATATAACGGATGTTTCTTAGTAGTTAAGATAGGAAAAGGATCAGTCATAAGTTAATGGTCGGTTATGATCCATTCCTCCACAGATTTGACATTCTGCCTGCTATCTACTATGTATTCAGAGGAAAGTTCATGGTTATTGACTTGAATGTTGCTTTCATCTATGAGCAAGGTAAACATTAGTTTGGACCCTAGTGATTGGGGGGTGTTGTAATACTAATTACTTTTGTATATCCCAAGCACAGTATGTAGAATCTTGCTGTATGACTGTGTGAAGAATAACCACCACTCCATGGCATAAACTGAGTGTGGAGTGACAATGTACAGTCACAGTGGTTCTGCCAGTGGTATGGAGCTGCATTAGGATACTGGCCTGGCCAGCACTATTCACTCTGATAATGTGCATCTCACTTTTTAAGAGGGTGGAAGTAAATGTCTTGGCTGACGTATGTCAAGAGTTCTTGTGCATATTTGTAATCACTCGGGTTTGCTTTGGGATTCATTATTTACCATGAAAAATTCTTGTCCAGTGCATAATGTGTTTGGAAGATTTGTGTGTGTGTGCTATGTTAATTATCATTTGTCTACCACTGTCTCTTGGCAGAAGGTTTCAAGCCACTCTCTGTTAGCACATGGATGATCCATGAATTGTCATTGTGTCGTGGGGAAAGCCAGTTCCACAATAAAGTGCAAGGGTCAGAGGTATCACAGGGAATAGGTAGAACACAGGTACTGGGCTCAGGTAATAAAGGTTTGCTCAAAAAAAATTCTGGGTTTTAAGCAGAGTTCATGGTTGTGCATGAGTCAGTAGATGATGCCATCACTAGGGATCCATGATTAGACTTTTTCTCAAGCCAAAAAAAAAAAAAAAAAAGAGCTAGGGATCCTTAATCTAACCTTGTCAAACCCTGTGTAAATAAAAAAAAAAGATGGGGGGGGGGCAGTGCCATGAACCATGGTCACCTCTGCTATCACTGATAGTGGTGTTGTTCCCTGGAAACCACCTTTTACCCTACCCAGTGCACAGCATCAGAATAACACCTCCAGAATTGACTGAGCAAGGCATAGCTAACCTGCCTGATTCAGCATGAGCACTAACTGTGCTAGTGATGACTTGTGACCTGGCATGAATAACAAGAGTCATGCACCTTCAGTTTTCACTCTTGGATCTCCAGGTAACCTCCAGTAATACATCCATGATCAGAGGCCCTTCCAAAGACCTGATATCTCACTGGAGGATCATCTGACACACACTAAGATGGTCTAATACCCATTAGGTGGAGTGACATGCCCACCACACCACTGCCAGTGGAAGCTGTTTGAACAGGGCTGATAATGGTCTATTTTCTCAGTCTAGAAACTGGAGTACATGACAGAGGTAAATTTCCCTGCTAATGAGGCCAAATGGAGAGTGGAAGGTTTGAGTTATTTAGGATTGATCCAAGGAAGGGAAAAAGAGATACAGTTCCTTGGATTAAGAGCCCTTTTGCCATAGCAAGAGATCCCTTTCAAGGGATTAGATGTAAGATTAACATGTTAGAATGAATCATATTGAGAGAGTTACTCAGTATTGAGCAAGTACAGTACATCACAGTATTAAATATATGCATTACACAGTACAGGAAAGTAATGATAAGACTTGTTGATAAATAAAATTCATGTGACAAAATATTACACATGGAAGTGTCCAATACGCTGTCCTCAAACCTGTTTCCTCCTCCTCACCAAGTATATGAACACTGTTTCTACATCACTAATATCACAATATCAATGTGACTAGAATTTCTGAACCCTTGAATTCAAGGGTTCCTTGATGCTGGTGAAAGGTTCTTGGTCCAAGGAATTGAAGCTACCCCTCACTTTCCTTGGATCAAACCTGATTACCTTCCATCCCCCAGGGACTGTCCGACTCACTACGGGTTCAGCTTATAACAATAATAATAATATAGTAGAATTTCTGAAGAAACAATTTGTATTGTAGATAAAGTCTATACTTTCAGAATGGAAAAGATCACATCAGAAAGTCCTATTATAAATGCCACAGAGTGATGTCTTCACAATGACCTATCACTTACTGTATCATTACCACCACCAGTACGTCATGTCTTGGGGTACAAATTTTATTTTTTATTTGCTTGCTTCAATTGCTACAGAGACTGGAAATACTGGAAATCATTTTTCACAATTTCCATTTTTGTCTATTAATAAATTCGCCTTTCATGTCAGTTTCCACCACTTTAGATTAAGTCTAAAAAAATTACAGTACTGTACCAAGGAACTATTTAATCTAAATTATTTTTAAATGAAAACCAGGTCAAGATACAGCACTGTACTTGAAAACACAACATTTTAAAGATAATTTCCTTTGCCAATACCTGAGGCAGACAATGATACTTTATTTTACTCTGACATTCAGAGAAGATTCTCCACCATGACACATTTTTTATTTTATTCTGAGACTCGGAGAACATGTTTCTCTACCATGACACATTTTTTAAGTTATTTTCACAAACATGAAGTTAAACAACTGAACTTCATCTACAGAAAATTGCAATGGCTGTAAATTCTATAGCAGCAGTCCTCAACCTTCCTACACAAGTGGGCCATTTTTGATGGTCAAATGTGTGATGAGGGCCTTGCAGTTTTGTTGACACTACAGTGTGGAACCTACATAAAAGTGAATTATTAATTTCATGTGATAGCTGTATATATTTCCTAGCAGGGCCACATGCAGTCCATGGGCCACAGGTTTGGAACCCCTGTTCTATAGCATGAAAGTGTTACATGTACACACTACACAGAGTTAACTGTAGGAATGACCAGCAGTTACTTCACCTTCTTCAATAATTGCTAGAACAATTATAGCCCTTGCAGTTTAACACTTCTTTTTGATTCTAATTCTCCCAGCATTATTATTATAAACAAGAATGTTCAGAATCTGGGAAAGAATAGTGTATAATACCTTACAAGGCATTATTGTTCAATTTAGCCCCTATACTACAGAAATAAATTGGGTTTAGCACTTACTGTAGTTATGATTATAATAATAATAATAATACAGAAATTTAGCAAGGCTCTGAATATAATGCTACTAGAGTGAAATAAATTAAAAACAGATAAGAGGTGAGCCCCTGTACCCTCGTATGGTTCATGACCCTTGTCAATTCAGCACTTTATTTGATAATAATAATAATATACCTTCATACACCTACAGTACACTACTGCATTGATGTTTCACCTTGACGCATTTCATTGACTATTAAGAATGAAGCCACATAGTTTTCCTCTGGGTACTTTATATCTTGCAATGAATTATTTTAATATACAGAGGCATCCATGTATGTACATTAGAAGTGTACTACTTATATGTAAAAGTCATGATAAACTAATCACTTTATTTTTTTATTTTTTACAAATATTGCACTGTACATGGCAAACCTGCTGCAGTATAAGTAAAATAATATCACAATTATAGTGGCAGCTTTGTGCATGTCATAAGCCATTGTGTAACTTCTTTAAGTAGCTACTGTCCATAACCTACGAAGGATTACCTAGGCTGGTGCACATGTATACCCTCTTGGGTTTAGCCCTTAAATTGACTATAGTAGTAGTAGTGTACATGTAGCTTTCCAGCTAGAAATTATTATTATAATCAAAAAGAAGCGCTAAGCCACAAGGACTATACAGTCCAGCTAGAAAACAGAAAAGATATCTGATTTGGGGAGTCAGACATATAAACTTATAGCTGTGTGTGGAAGTTTATATAGTTACTATTGTGGGCTTTGAAAACTGAAAATAGTTAAATTTTAGAATGCAGTTATGACTGAATAGGACAAGAAAGGATGAGGCTTTATTCTGATTATTAACCGAGGATACTCAAAGTAAATGAGGCAGTGTTGCTTATGTCGAATGGAGTCCTTAGGTTCTCTTTACCACCATGTGAGCCACAACAGCCCCCTGCACTGTGGGAAGCCCTGAAATTAAGTGTTGACAATGGCAGTATTTTAAGAAAAAATTATTCTGAAATGAAAGAGAATCTTTTTCTGAAGGTAAGGATAGCAAAAATACATTAGTGGTCTGGGCACAATTTACACACGGGTGCTTTTGCCCACTTTGAGTCCTATTTTATGTCGATTCCATTGCTCATTTCAACCAACCTGTTAACCATTTCACTGGTATGCCTTCTGTTTTATCGATTGATCACAAGAAACAGCCCATTCAACTATCAGAACTACTCTATAAAGTGCACAGAAATTGGTAATTTGGCCAATTTTACACAAAATTTAAATATAGTATGTCTTCCATTCTATCAAATGATACCAAGAAGCAGCCAATAAATCCATAAAAAGCATAAAAGAAAACACCTCAATTTTGCCATTTAAACCAAATAAGGTTAGTGATTTGCTTCTCCCATCATGCAGTGAGTGTGGCAGGATTTTATACTGTGCATACTAACCACACACACATTATCTGAGAGAGCTGAGCTCAAAAAATGGATTTACATGAGGGACCCTAGTGTCAGTGACATAGATCTACATACAAGACAGTGAAGGGATAATTGTTTCAAGAAAAGAAGCAGCAGGTGCAAGGAGACCTGTCCAAACACTTCACCTCATCTGGTCTTCCAGTCCCATAGGCTGTGGAGAAATTTTCTCCAGGAGGGGGGGTATCAGCCCCCTTCAGCCCTGAGAGGCCCAGCCCTCTCAGAAGGGGCAAACATCTTGTTTACTGCTACAGCAAGTAATTGATCCCAGATGCAATACAAGTATGTGACGTGGTCAAGTGACCGCCGCTCCTTGCAAGAGTCCAGTGTTGCAAAGTGTAGTTATGAGAAACAGTCCATCTCTTACCTTAATAGGACAATTAAGGAAAATCCTGCTCCCACTTTATTACCATGGTAAAGATAGTGTACATTGTTGTCTATGCTTAAGACAGCAAGATTCAAGCATTTTGCTTTGCTTCATGGAGGAAGTTTGGCAAGGAAGCAAAAAGTACTAAGTCAGCTTTTCCTTCATGTTCTAGGGGCATTGCAGTGGCATATGACGCTGTGAGGTCAGATTACTTTTGACTCTACTGAGAGACATTGACATGCCGGGATAACCAACAAAGAACAATGTTCCGTGCGTTTTGCACAAAAGAATCTCAATAAACAATTACAGAGAAGTGTGATCAGCTTCTTTAGTGACATTATGGTGTGAACAATTATTGATGAACAGTGTAACAACAAGTGTTGCGATCCAACAGAGTGTAGTGCGACATTCTTCAAAGAATACTATTCTTCAATCAAGACATCGGACATCCGGGCGTAACTACGGGTCAGATACATATACCAAGGTAAGTGTACTAACTCGTGATGTACTACTATTGACTGCACAGTTGAGTATAAAGTTGAGAGTTAGTCACTTATCATAAACCCCGGTGATAAGTGGACCTTTGAGTCCACACAAGTGATGTCAGCAATCAGTGTCTGATATATGCTGACATAACACCCCCTAGGGGTAATTTATTATTAATGTATTTACTTTACAGCCTGTTGCGAAGTGGATACGACAGCTTCTCAAGACCTCGCCTGCAGGGGCGGCTGTGCAGGCGATGAGCTGTCTTACCAAGCTAAGTTCCCCCTATATTTAATCTTTAACCTTAGCTGGTAAACCATTTCTCAACATAGGCTATAATAAGTATTTAATAAATAATAAATATTTAATAATGTTAAATTATTATTATAATCAAAACTAAGGGCTAAACCCACAAGGGTCATACAGCACTATTGATAATGTTAGAAAGTGTTAAGATACATTATTAACAAAAAATTTTATCTGTATAGTACAAAGAATCATATTTAGATTTCGGTGGGATAACAATTAACTTAAAAAAATCATATTACATCACACATTATTTTTAGGCGAAGTTTCATCACAGTAATAACTATACTGGATTGCTGAAATAAGACAAAATCCACTGGGTAAACTACTTGTAATGCATTTACCTTTAAAAATTTATTCTGTATACCTGTGAACTGTGTGTACAGTATTATATTAGGTATACAGTAGTGCTTCTTCTGCGACATTTTAATATTCTGATTTAGTGGACACTCGGAGAATCCCCCTTATTACTTCAGTATATTGAGGGTTGAGTGTGCTCTAATTTATGAACTCTGCTCTATTAAACCAGTATGGTGAATATTGTAATAAGTCAACAGTTGTATGACAACTCTGCTTCACAGTCAACAAGGATATTTTATATCAACTATCATTTACATGTCACAAGACAATGCAAAAGAGCTTTACCTAGTTGTTCACAGAAATGGTACTCATTCAGAAATGTTTGAAATATCAGTGAAAAGTGTCATTTTTTTTAAACTGTCAAGTCCTGCAGACTTGGGCGTTTACGTTTTATTACAGGAGGGCCCTGCATGTTCGGCACCCTCTTTTCAGTGTTCCACGCTTTTACTGACTTTCAATTGAGCCATTGTTCATTATGTTCAGTGCTTTTTCCACTTTTCTGCCATATTTGCACAACAGCTGCGTCAGGGAAGGGCATCTGGTGCTATATTTTAAGGTAAATATTGCATGTGTACTGTATAATCATTTTAATTTCCTATCATTTTTTAGGCCTAGCTGTATTGAGCACTTAATATATGATAGTGTAAACATGTTATCAGGTGTAATACATGCATTTGATAGCGAAAAAATGCTATGTTCCACTTGCCAGTGATTTTCACTTATTGGCAAGGATCAGGAACCTGCGGAGAAACGGGGCCCTTCTGTATCTTCCTTTCTGACAGATGCAGCTCTGGTGTGTTTCTTCACCAGTGGTCATTTCATACCAAGGCAAGGTGACCCAAAGAAGAAAACACATTTGCCTCTCTCTATAAATAGTCCACAATGCTGTATGTCCAAACATTTCAATCATTTAGGTCTATGTAGTATTTTAAAACAACCAAATATCTTTAATTATTTTAATTATATTTGCAGCTGTTTGGAGTGACATCTAAACTGTCATATCTGAGCACCTCAGCAAAGACAGTGATTATGTATGAATGATGAAAGTGTTTTTTTTTCCCCCTCTTTTTGGGTCACCCTGATGGGTGGGAAATGGCCAATATGTTGAAAAAAAAAAATTGCAGCTATTTTATTAATTGTACTATTTATCCCTGTCTAATCCTACCCCTAAATTTTAATTTACTGATTGTATCTTTAACCTTAATTATCATTATTATTCGTGCTTTTCATTCCTCTGTATCGTGAATTTTATACTGTCCATCCAATTATTAATTCTGACTTTTACATAAGTACACAGAAGTGACCAGAACTTATATATGTATACAACAAATTCTTGATTTGATTGACTAGATGAGGGTAGTGGGTGACTGGTAATGGTGACTGTGGTAGTAGTAGTTATTCTGCCATGATCTTAAGAAAAATGGTCACTTCTTTAATCAATAAATTTTGCCCACTGGTTCTGAATCAACAAACCAGAGGATTTTCCTCTGTATTTCCACAATGCATTAAATCTGGGTTGGTTAAATCGAGGGTATTCTGTATATGTATATTTCCCTTCTCCCCCACTGTCAATATTTTGCACTAAACTCGTAAGTTAAAACAGCTCTATACACATGTACTATTTATATTAAGCAGTTGTAGTGCTAGTTTGAATCTGCCTAAAATGTTGTGCATCCTGGGCTTTTCACAAAAATTGTATTACTTGCATGTTTTTAAAGTAAAATCACCATTATTATTATTATTATTATTATTATTATTATTATTTAGCCATGCACCACCTCCTGCAATTCCCATTGAATCTTGCACTAGACAGTCCAGTCCTCTCACATCCAGAGTTCTTTCCCTCTCTCAGGCACTTACAGTTACAAGTAATCTTAGATGGATAAAATTCCAAGACTCTTCCACCGGAGGAATATAAAAAGTGTTATGGGTGGGTCTTGGAAGGTGTTTGGCGGTACCTGCCAGGTAGACACCATGGAAACTTAGGAACAAGAAGGGACTTGAGAACCATTACAAAAACAATAGATTGAACTCCTTGGAGTTTCTTGCAAAGTCTGCAGCAGCATTGCAGCAGAGCCCATTAATAATGAGAAGGTAGGGCAATAGACACACTGATGGCTGGGCATCACAATAGAGAGCATATCTGTAGCATAATGTCAGAAGCTGGGACTATGGTTATATTATCATCATATACGTACATGGTAACCACTAAACCCGCAAGTCATACAGTCATTATGGCAAAAGAGAAAGAAATGGGGGATTGAGAGGAAGAGGTATTGAGGAAAGAACATAGCAACCATGGGGAAGGGCTAGTGTAGCAATCTTAGGCAAGATAACCTTCGGGAAGGGCTGGTGTGGTGACCTTGGGCAAGACAGCCCTCCAGTTACTTTCTGTATGAATGGGAAGCCAATTACTGCTGGTAGAGACATTCTCATCTGTCTCTGGAGATACTTCTGAACACAGACATTAACATGAGAAGTGATAAGAATTATTGTCTGGAGATCATACCGGCATGGAAGACTGCCAGGGAGAACTAGCTAATACAGCTCTCCCATAAATATGACTGCACAACCCTCTTGCAGCAAGTTAGCTCCATGGGGGTGGGGAGTTCAATTAAGTAACAAGACATAACTTGGTCACCTTCAGTGATTCATTGCAAGTAGCCACTTGTGGTTATCTTTATAAAGCTTTTTACCTATGAGTCATGTACAGTATCACAAAATAAAGTTTAAAAACAAATTCTTTTCTGTGATACAGTTCTGCAGCCAAAATTAAAAATTGTGTTGTATAAAATTTGAATAACCTAAAAAGCCATAGCAATTACTGAGTAATATGTCATAGAAACCTGGGTGAAAATCATCACTGTCCAGCAAGTTAGAGCATGACCAATGCTGTAACAACACTCAGCCTCTACGAGTCTACAAGAATGGTGTAATGCTGCAAAAAGATTTTATTGGAGGCCCTAAAATTCAGGGTATCAGATTTTATGATAATGATAACTTTGTCTCCCAAGAAGATACGTTAAACTTACAGTAGTTGGTTAACAGCATATATATTTCTTACAAGAAAAAAGTCCATACTTATGCATTTTCATGATGATGACCTAACAAGAATGATTATCACGAATTATCTTCACCAGTGTCTTGGCATACATCCTTGCCTGTCAGATGAGTTCTATTTAGCTACTGGTGGTCGCTGGTCTGAGTGGTACTTGAATACATGTCTAGAGAGGTGTCCCCTCTGTCGAAATGCCACGCCACACGTTGAACACTTGTATGGCTTTTCACCAGTGTGTATCCTGTAAAAAGACATTCATTTGATTTACTCAAATTCAAACTTTTATTTTGTCAGGACATACATGAATATAACAGCAAATTGGATAGGTCTGGTAATACAATAATTATGTTACTGAAATAGTAATAATAAGATTATACAGTACTTGTATAGTACTTAAATTTCAAACAAGTGCACACACTAGGATCTTAGTAAAAAATGAAAGAGTTAAGCTATCCAAACTGGAAAATGCTTGAAATTTCCTTACAAGACTGTAAAGTATTGCACACTAGTACTGTAATGACCTATTTGTATTTACTATAGAGTATCTGTAAAATATCACACTGCTCATGTATGGAGCAGATGAGTAACTACTAAGTACTCAGTTTAATTACATCATGGTATTGAAAAAATATAGAAAGAATAATTAATGAGGAGAACTCAACAGGTGTTAATGACTAGATAAATCACCAGTGCAACTGATTAACTATATACAAGTTAATGGCTTACCAAATATACAGTATACAAGAAGAAACCGAAACTCATAGATCTTTGGTCAACGTGTTTAAAAAGAAAATTATTTTATCAAATAAAATTTGACAAACCTTGTAGAGATTTAAAAAAAAAATCTGTACAAGGCTCAAAGTTCAAATACAGTATCAAGGCCTGGGAGATAAACTACACTACATATTAAGGTAAAAGTACTAAAAAAACATATGCAAAATATATAGTATAAAAGCTGGAGCTGTACAGTGGTGCTGTGTAAAATATCCTAATATCTATAACTAATATGGTCCTGAGCCTAACATTACCAGATAATGCTCCTCTTCAAGGGGGGCTCCTTGGCGTGGTGAAGAGGCTCTTGGTCTGAGGAATTAGACCTGTCGGTCTCCTTCCTCAGGCCAAACCTAATTACCCCCCAATCCCCCCTTCCCTATCCCATCCTCCCCTTTTCCCTTTCCTCCTCCCCCTCCCCACCCCTCCCTTTTGCCCTTCCTCTTTTTGGCCTTTGGGATTTTTCCCACAGGCGCGCTAGTTCCTAGGTAGGTGAAAGGGTACCAGGGTCCATCCCATTCCATTGAGGTTCTTGGCGGTGGCGTAGTTTGCCGTAGAATCTGGATCACCTGGGGATGTCCCGATCCCTCTCCGGTATCCCGGAGAGTGGCTTTGGTTGTCTTTCGGGCGACAGGTGTATCTCTGGAAGCCACCTTTCGGATTCCGGGGGTGGTGGCCAAAGGAGGTATGCTTTGTGGTGGATATCCGGCCGCCCTCTCTTTTGTCCACCGAGGTAGCTCGGCAGATTTGAGGTTGCTATCCTGAATTGCTGGTTTACTGGCATGATGGGTAGGGTATGGCACGGGTTCCATGCTGCATCTACGCTACTTGCGGTGCTGAGGTCCTCTTGGGCGTGGAGGGAGATTTCTGGCCCTTTCATTCCTCCTAGGAACTATCCCTCCCCGGTCCCCCCTTTTTTTTCATTCTTTTTTTATTTTTATTTTCTTTTCTTCTTTCTTTTTTTTCTTAAAAACAAAAAGAAAGAAGTAACCTAACCATGGAGAACCCAATCCATGACCCTGCTACCCCCGGGCCCCTTCTTGATACCGCACCCCATTCTGACCCCGCCTCATCTTTGGACCACTCTTCGGACATTCCTCATGCCTCTGTACCTCTTGCCGGTGCTGTTTCCTCACCCGCTTCAGGTACTGAGGTCTCGACTGACTCCTTTGATTTATCTGGCCTCCGCTCTCCTTTGACTATGCTTCCGGCCTCTCCCTCTATGGTGCGGCAATTTTCGAATCGCCAGCCCATTCCACATCGGACCAACTCTGGTCCCATGCCTAAACGCCAACGACAATTACCTGCTGATGATACTTCTCCACCTTCTCGTTCTTCTCAGAAAAGATCGACACGTCCTGCACTCCCTTTCCACGCTCAGTTTCAGACTGCACAATGGACTAAATTCTTCACTTTACGACCGACTTCCTCTACCGCCTATCTTTCCGACCGCTGTATAACCCTTGTGGCTTAGCGCTTCTTTTTGATTATAATAATAATAACATCTTTCCGACCACAGTATTGGCAAGGTGCTCCTACGCCATGTTGGTAAAGATATTTCTTTTCATGCTCTTAAGAGCGATACGCGCATCATCACTGTACAGAATGCTACCCAAGCTCATGATCTTTCTCTTCTTTCCCATATAGATATTGTTCCTGTCACTATTGAAAAACATCATTCCCTCAATTCTTGTAGTGGTACCATCATTCTGCCCCATACCATAGTTCAACAAAATTTCCAGACATGTGGCAATGACATTCTTGAACAGCTGGAACTCCAAGATCTCCCAATCCTCAAGGTAGACACTTATGTTCTTCCTGCCCGCGGGCGGAGACGATACCCTAGCAATGTGGCTCGTTTAACTTTTGACAGCCGTGAACTCCCATCCTCAGTTTATGTAGCAGGACATCGGTTACAAGTTCGAAAGGTGATCCCTACACCGCAACAGTGTAGAAATTGCTGGCGATTTGGCCATCCAGTGAAATATTGCAGATCCATAGCCGAATGCCCAGTCTGTGGTGCCAATGACCATTCTAATACGTCTTGCAATCGACCTCCCTCTTGCCTTAATTGTCATGAGGCTCACCCTTCATACTCTCGCCGTTGCTGTTGCAACCCCTGAATGGGTTGCAATGATTATTATGTATATAATTATTATCTTTTCATATAATTTTATATTGCTTATATTTGCAATAATAGCTAAATCGTAAATGTATTGTTTTATATTGTTATTTGACTTAGCTTCCTTTGGTTAGGTAGGATGTAACATATTATGTGCTCAGTTCAAGTCTTTATTGTCTAACTACTGTAATTATCGTTTTGGGGCTTGTTAGACTCCCGGCTTTGTTTCTGAGTTTCGGACCCCGGCTATACGTGTTGGGGGGGGGTGTCCTCCCCTCGCCTAAAGTATTCAGTTGGTTAGACTCTTTTGGGTGGTTGGAAGATATCTGTCTCTTATTTTGTTGTTTGGGACTTGTTACAGAACTTGTTAGCTTAGTGATTTTCGGGTTTTGTACTGGGTTGTGTGTCGCTTAGACACTTGGCAATAGGTTTTGAGCTTGTTCTGACCTCTTGTTGGTATTGGTATTATCACAGCGGGGATTTTTTATGTAAATTACATTAGTAGTTGGGAGTTTTGGGGCTTTTGGGGGGGATCTGTGATGGTCCCTATAGCTGTCTTTTATTTTCCTTGTTCCTGTTGTGTCGCAGTTGCTTGTTATATTGTTGTTGGTTATCAGTGTTTTTTTGTTAAAGCAGCCCTTTTCGATTGCCGTTGGTTTAAGAATTTAGTTTATTGAGGTTTTGGTAGTCATTTGTTTAAGTTGTGAGTCGTGGCCTAGCGAAAACTTAGAGCATTTACAAAATACACAAAAAAATTCTTGTACATTTTGTAATTTTTATTAATGTTAATGTACCGACGGTTTTCAAGATTAAAAATGTGATTTGTGTTTCAGCACAAAAATTTTTACTCGGAGAAGTGATTTTTTTTTTATGTGTTTAAATTTTAAATTTAAATTTAATTGATAAAATTCTAGACTTAATAAATTATTAAATTTTTTTTTCTTGTTAGTAGCCTACCAGTTGTAATCTAAAGCTTTGAATCATACTGAATTTAATGGATAATTGGACAAGGATACTGACTACTTGTTACAAAAACCCATTTACAGGCTGGATGCTAAAAGGGGCAGCCCTTTTTTAGTACAGTGGACCCCCGTTAACGATCACCCCCAAATGCGACCAATTATGTAAGTGTATTTAGTAAGGGGTTTGTACGTGTATGTTTGGGGGTCTAAAATGGATAATCTATTTCACATATTCCTTGGGAAAAAATTCGGTCAGTATGGCCATGAACATACTATGGAATGAAAAAATTTCGTTAACGGGGGTCCACTGTATTCATGGAGATCTCTAAGCTTTTAGAATCGGCTTTTTGTAAAAAGGGACCCTGTCCGGGATGCTCTTGATCCAAGGTGTTGGAAAAAAATTTGCCGTTTGACATATAGTAACTCTATGATCAAAACTTTGAGTATTTTCCTAATTGAAGCTCTGAGTTTAGTTTGTACAACAAACTAGGTGGATGTTGTACTTGACTGAGTCTCTTGACCCAAGGAGAGGGAAAAACTGTTTATGAGCTCTAAGACGCCAACATAAAATTCCCTATTGGATTACAGTTTCCAAAATCACTCTCTGTAGAATTTATTTTCGTGATGTATGCCAAAGTGAAAAAGTTATTGATATTTGCTTGGTTAAGTACTTTAAAAAATTAGACGTTTTGGCGAGTAGCAAAATTCTCGGTGTGACGTATAAAGGAATTACCCCGCAGAAAAGTCAGGGGTTTAAATTAAAGATATTTGTTTCTGCTTTACAGAGATGTCTGTTTATGATTAGATTCAGAAACTGTGTCAAAATAAGAAGTTGACTATTTGTAAATGAAGAAAAGAGAAAACTAAGGCAAAATTGAGCCTAGTGTGCCCCCGTTCCCTCCCCTTTCCCCCTGTTAGTAGATGCACCCTTACTAGTCAGTGTATGCCCCCTGTACTACTTTCCTGACCAGATTAGACTTCTGGGAGGGGGGCCTGGACAAAAGTTCCGACCTGGGGACAGTCCAGAAAAGAATTTTAAATTCCCTTACTCCTCCATTACCCATGGTCCTTCTCTCAGGAACTTTTGGAGGTTTAAACCCCTAATTAGTTGCGACTGCACAAATAGAGGTCGAGGAAATTGAACAAAGAAGATTTCCGAGGAAAATGTTCGTCTGGGAGATACAGACTGTAGTCACGGGGACACATTTAATGGCAAAAAGCTGCCCAGGGTTCCTAAGTTTTTTGAAAGTGACTTAGCCCCTTTTTTTGATGTTTTTGGGAAAAACCGGCCCGTGCTATGAACTGGGCCGTAAGCACTGGGTCCCTTGTTGCACACGCTTTGACAGGAAGAGCTCAAATTTGTACTGCTGCTTTCCATTTCCCAAG